ATTAATCACTGATGAGTGACAAAAAGCTCGGAAGCTAAGATCAAAGCGAAAAACGTGACAGTAGAACAAAACAAGTGATCAGATTTCGGGACTCGCTTTAGGTCGTTGATCAATATTATATGCTCAGAACTATTCCACATTAGTTGACCCAAAAATGTCGCGCATTTCGTTAAAACTTCGTCTAAGGGGTTATTTTGCACGTTGGTTACGAATACCACATTTATATCGCACGATAGTGCCATATGGTGGAGTTACGGTAGGGGATCAAAACCACGGGTTTGTGCAAATTCCGTCTAGAGAGGAGGGGATGGGGTGGGTTACTTGGCACGCTGCACATGAAACACGTATTCAAATCGTACGGGTGCGTATACGGTACTTATGTGAGCTAGAAATCTCGAATTTGCTCATTTAGAAGGATTCCTAAGCACGCTGATCGTATGTCATGCTCTTATTTTGGAACTGTTTCGCGTAATTAGGTGTACAGTAGATGGCTAAAGTGATAGATCTCTTCGAACCTTTGTGCAGGGGTGTTTGACGTGCTGACCGCGTATATCGCATTCATTTCCGACAAAGAAATTTTGTGGAGTTTTGAGATCTGAATTTGGCTTGAAAGCGGAAAAGTTGCTCTTTCACGCACCGTAGCTCTCATAAATCTAACAATATAACATTGTTGCAGCGAATTTGTAAATTCGCCAAACGTTCCACAGCAAAAGAGGCATGATATTTGTAATCAGCATGCTTGAAATCCCCCTCAGGCAAAGTTTTGAGCAAAACCGGATTCTTAGCCATCCACCGTGCACCCCTATACCCGAAAAAATGGTATTATACGAAATGAATATGATGTTCGTGCTCAGCGTGCCAGTAGTCCTCCCACCCCCCCCCCCCTAGACGAAGTCTGGAATCGGTGATTTTGACCCCTACCGCAATCCTACCGTAAATCCTTCAGATAGCGCTACCGCGCGAAATAAGTGTGATATTCGTCACCAGCGTGTACATTAACCCCTTTAGAGGGAGTTTTAGCGAAATCAGCGGTTTCATTTTTTGGGTCAAATGGAGCCGGATTTTTGAGGAAGTTAGGCCTAAGTCTGCTGCAAGACGAAGGCAGAAAAGCAAAAGTGAGCGAACGCGACGAGAGCGTAGGGATCCGTCAGAGTTTACGATGTTACTAGTGTTAGTGTTACCCGTGTTACCAGTGTTACCACTGTTACCAGTGTTACCACTGTTACCAGTGTTACTCGTGTTACCCGTGTTACTAGTGTTACTGGTGTTACTGGTGTTACTAGTGTTACTAGTGTTACTAGTGTTGCCGCTTTTATTGCTGTTAGTATTAAAATGATGACTGTGTTCGCGCGCCTAAGTCTCGCGCCTTCGTTAGTAGTCTTTATATGCGAAAAGAGAGAAGAGAAATTCTAGATAAATACGCGCAAAGGAAGTTTTTTGCGGTCTATCATAATGAAAAATAACTATCGAGTTGGCTTTGCGCATTAAACACTTTCATTTTTAGCACAATAATGTGATGAAAGGCGAAAGTTTTCTTCATTGGGACCTACCACATGAAATCACTCAAAGAATACTTACAGTCAGCTGCAGTCATTAGAAGCAGTTGAGTAGATTTACTGTAACCTGTAAAATCACTGAGGAAACCAGGGTTGAGCAAGAGGTCAGGCACAAGTCTTTCCAAAACAACCCCCCTCCCAGTGAAAGCCCCTAAACGACCCCTCTGCTTCACCTCCAGGACCTCAGGCTGTGATAGTTCGAAGAGATCAGCCGTTTTTGGGAGGTTCTTGTTTTTTGGAGGCCTGTAGGTCGACTTTCTGCGATTGCACAGCACATGCAACTTGACGGCAAGTTTTGGATTTTGGATAGCACTACTTTTAGAGCTATAATTCCCACAGGGGTGTATTGTTTGGCTCCAAATTTGCAGTATTGCAAGAAGAGGCTTTGAGTTCAATACTCATAGCAGAAATGGAGCGATTTTTAGATTTTGAAAACAAGTTAATCGGGTCAGGCGCAACCCCTCAAAAGCTCAGGCGGCCTGACCTTTTGTGGGGTTGCGCCTGACCCGATTAACTTTATCATTGAAGAAGCTTTTTTATTCAAGTTTTATGTGGATCGCTAGCACAACCCTCGAAGATTCCACAGTAAGTGTTTGGACTTGATTCGACTTGTTTCGGCCTTGTGGTAATCCGTGGAGTTGAAGCAGTCATGGCGAAAAACGCGCCGGTCGAAATTTTGGCATTATTTCTTACTCCACTATTTGCAAGCGATACAAAGCGCGATTTTTAGCCTAGACTAGTAGGGAACAATACTTTGTTACGAGTACAAAAAAATTGACTTTTCTCACTTTTGAAAACAAGTTAATCATGTTTGAAAATCACGCTTTTTAGTCGTTGAGAAACACTAGGTAATGCAGTAAATAATGGTTTGTAGGGCTCATAGAGGTAATTTGTGCTTGAAAATGATACCCATTTCAAACAGCAAGCTTCCTTGATGAATTTATAATATATCAAGGTAGAAGATGAAGATTTGAGTTTTGGCCGAAACTTCGATTGTGGAATCAATCAGTATGCTGTTTAAGACCGTTCATTCCTTCAGTACTGGTGAGGTCGCAATATCCACTAAACTAGCGCTTTTCTTCTTTACCTTAATCGCAGTATCTCCTCAATCGAACGAATTCGATTCCTAATCACGACCCCCCCCCTCTGTCTTACCCCAGTACGACCCCCCAGGTCGGGCGCGCCTGACCCCACGCTCAACCCTGGAGGAAACTAACAATTCAGCACCTCGCTTGCGCGAGCGTACAAAGACAAAGTAGATCGACAACAAATGACAATAATAGATTTGACAGTCATATTGTTCCACGAGAGAAGATACCCAAGACACTATGATAAAGCTCCTATTCCTATCCCTGTACAATCTTTCCCTATGCCTTCCATATGCAATTCCCCATTCCCGCTGCGTTAGTAATCAGCATGCTCACTTACCCCTCTGTGCCAACTCCCAGCCCTATAGCTCAAACTTTGGAAAAAAGTCGATAAAATCGATAAAAGTAATGGATAATTTCAAGAACTTATATTGTATTCGTCATCAGCGTGCTCAAATACCCCCCCCCCCTGTGCCATCTTCCAGCCCCGTGCTTGAACTTTGCAAAAAATTGATCATTGATGAAAGTATGTACCCTAATTTCACGCGTACAAAACGCGGGGTGGTCCTAGCTTTCATCGACCAGCCCGAACACGGCAAACAAAGGAATCCATACCGTGCTGCGTTTTGCCTGACAAATCGTGCGGCATAAGGATCGCTTCTCAAAACATGTTGGGGCTGCTGAGCAGCTCGATGAAAGCTAGGACCACCCCGCGCCTTGTACGCGTGAAATTAGGGTAATTGATAATTTTAAAAACTAATATTGTATTCAATAAGCGTGCTCACAATACTCCATTAATCCAACTCCCAGCCCGCAGCTTGAACTTTGCAAAAAATCGATAAAAAACGATAAAGTCGGCATTCGATGACGAAAAGTAGCCTATGGCACGCTCCCCGCCCCGACGTATATGAATGCCAAGTTTGGTCCAAATCGGTTCTAAAATAGAATTTCTATTCCGCACGTACATACACACATACACAGACACACAGACAGACATACAAACAGACATTCGGCTTTAGGAGGCGTTTTTCACAGATGCGTTCACCAGATTGTTTGATTGTTGATAACTCTCTTGTAATGAAATCTTTCAGGAAGCTCCAGGTATGCTTTGTAGAGCTAGCTTCAACTTAGATTTATGGTATAGAAACCACCCATCTTTCTTTATTACTGTAAAATTACGGTAGAAAAATCAAAGAGGGTTTTGAGCACTTTCACACTGGGCTGACTGATTAGAGTTGCTGATTCTAAATTTGAAGTTTGCAGTTTATCATGATGCATAAAGTTATGCGAGGTAAGCAGTAGCGGCAGTTTCTCAAGTTCTCAAAAAGTGCGGTTACACCGTTTGAAAAGCTTCGCATGTTGTACATATGTGAGTACTAGCTGGCTTACTCGGCTCCGCACGACTCTATCAAAACACTGTGATAAAGGTTCCATCCTTATCTCCTTACAACCTGTGTCCAATTTTACATGCCAATTCCCTATTCCCGCTGTTTATTAATCAGATGCTCATATACCCCTCCGTACCAACTCAGCTCTGTAGGTCAAACTTTGCAAAAAAATAGATAAAAATCGATAAAATCGATGTCGGTCGATGACGAAAAGTAGCCTATAATGCCCGCCCCGAAGTGTATGTGTGCGAAGTTTGGTCCGGATCGATCCAAAAATAAAATTTTCTATTCGAAACGTCCATACAGACAGACAGACATACAAACAGACACTCGGCTTTACATCCAAGATTGAACTCAGCTTCCATAAAACCTTACTGCACAGGTTTTCACATTTTTTTGGTAATTCTTTGAAACGGCAATATGATACCGTGTAGTTGTAGTTTCTACCGTAGTCCTACAGTAATGAAGAGCGATCGGTGATTCGCTCTATACTTCAAAGCTAAGTTGAAGCCAGCTCTATGAAATGGTACTAAAAGCTCTTGAAAGACTTCATTACAAGAGAGTTATTAACAAACAAACAGTAGGCACAGTTTTTGGGACACCCTGTATAACTAAGCGAGGTCAACCGCGGTTATCATTGAGAACTGGTAACAAACTGAAATCTGCACCTTCGCTTTCTGTAACCATGCTATAAAAGCAATATCGTAAAGAGCAATAAGCAGTTGCTTCTCAGTCAGCAATCTTTTCAAGGTAATTTTACTCACTGCTTTTTTATTTTTACTCACGAAAAGTTATTATAAGTATAGACATTGTTTGCTATAGTTGCTATATCATCAACCTCTTAATACTACTGTTCTTTACTATTCAAGAAGTAGAATTGATGCCCTACATACAGAAAAAAAGAAGAAATGCTTATCTGCTCATGCTTTCGAAAACAGCATGCAAAAACGCAAAAACGTCCATTTCAGATGCTGATAATCTTGGCCACAATCGTTGGCCTCGTCATCGCTGATGCTGGAGCAAGATACGAACGTCAAAGTTCAGGATACGAAGAGGCTGAGAATAGTCAGCCCAGACCAGCACCGATAAGCGCTTCTGGTGGTGATCAACAAGCTTACAATTCTGATGGAGCTGGTGGAGGTGGAGGAAGAGGCGGAGGTGGTGGAGGCCGAGGAGCAGGTGGAGGAGGAATGGGCGGCGGAGGCGGCATGATGGGCGGTGACCGTGGAGGAGGAGGAGGCATGATGGGCGGTGGCCGTGGAGGAGGAGGAGGCATGATGGGCGGTGGCCGTGGAGGAGGAGGAGGAGGCATGATGGGCGGCGGAGGAAGCTACGCTACTGGACCCGGTGGCGGATACTCTGGTGGCGGAGGAAGCAGTGGCGGAAGCGGCGGTGGAGGCCGTGGAGGAAGCGGTGGAAGCAGCGGCGGAGGAGGCGGCGGATACGCCGGTGGTAGCAGCGGCGGAAGCGGAGGCAGTGGAGGAAGCGGCGGTGGACGTGGTGGCGGTCGCGGCTGTGGTGGCGGACAAGGAGGCGGCAGCGGTGGGGGAGGCAGCGGTGGATACTCTGGCGGCGGTGGAAGCAGCAGCGGAGGCAGCGGTGGATACTCCGGCGGTGGTGGAATCGGCGGATCTTATGGAGGATCGGTAAGGCTTTTGGTAACTTTTTTGAAGTTCTACATTATGCGTGCATTTTAGGCCGGCGAGTATTTCCATCGACGTTTCCTCGCCGCTCGACGTATATAAAGCTACAGAATCCGTCGGGATTTGCTTAGCGATATTAATAGTGTTCACTAGGAGATAATAAACAATTTCAACTTTATTATCGTACAGTGTGTTTGATATGTGAATCAGCGATGGCATGCATGAGAAAAAGAAAAAACACAGTATCCACTGACATGTGATACAGCTGGAAGCTTATGAGTTTTCTCGTGAATACGACGCACGATTGCAGCAGTCAAAGAGTAACCTGACAATCAAGAAATATCTTGAAAAGTTTTCTGGGAATCTTTTCCAATGGAATGTCTTAAAAATATAGAATAATTGAAATACCTGGCTTCGCTCGTTCTCTGTCAATTTAACATGCTAGAGAACCGTTCCGTCGCACCTCTACACAACGTCTTCCTGTTCCACTTTTGTATGCCACCAACCTGCCTTCCATGTTGTAATTAGCATCTCATTTACCCCCCCCCCCCCCCCCCACCTATGCTAACTCCAGCACCATCTCAAAATTTGCAAAGAGTCAAAAATCGATTAAGTGGTAGGCATTCTTACAAGCGGTTCACCCCTCCCCCTCCCCCCCCCCCCCCAACTCGAGCTCGTAGCTCAAAATTTGCAAAAAATTAGTAAACTCGAAGGCAATAGATCATGAAAAGTAGTCCACGACACCCGCCCACCAAAGTGTATTTGCACAAAGTCTGGTCCGCGGTTCGTAAATGAATTTCCTATTTGGTACATACGTGGACACATTCAAGCATACAAACATACATATCGTCAGTTCCACGATTCGTGCAAAGGCGGAGTCTTACCAACTTAAAGCGTGGCGGTTTTTGAAGCGAGAGAGTACGAAAAACAATGTATAACGTAGAGGTTTGAGAATTTATCCTTATAATCAGGGAAACTCCGCAACCCGCCTTTATACAAACCTTACAGTCATAAAGACATATACAGACAAACAGACATTGAGCTACATATAGAAGATATATTTATATGGAGTTGCCGTAAAATGAATAGGTTCGACAAAAGTTTTGTCGAGCAAATGTGCAAAGAGGTAAAGAAGAGCTAAATAGATTAAATAATAATAAGATGCAAACGACAAAGCCATGTACAGTCGAGTAGATTTTCCGCTTAATATAGTGTGCTTGCACAGAAGGCGAAATGCGGTACAAGTATAGGCCGTCCGCGCACGGCGCGGAGAGTGCGCAAGGTGTGTATTGCGCGTTACTCCTCTTTCCTCGTGCACTCTCGCCGCCTGTTTTTCTCTGCGCTTCTTCCAGTGGTGAACTGCCTTCAATGTACGCAACAGCGTTGCTCTCCGTGCGCAGCGCGGACGTCCTATAGCTTCGATGACGCCAGCCAATCGCGCGCCATACCGGCACTACTGGCGTGACTAATTATTCACGCGCAAATTTCATCGCATTTCTAAGCACACCATATTAAGCGGAAAATCTACTCGACTGTAGCTGGATGTTCTATTAGTAACAATCATGAAATTTTGCTAGAAAGCAGGGGCGCAACTATTCTCCCTTAGAGCCAACACTAGTCCTTGGCTAGGGACCTTTGATATGTCTTTGAAGCTTTTCAAATGCATACAATAGAGTGCCACTTGCTTTCAAAAGCCTACGTTGGAAGACTGGATCATGTCGATGAGATGGTGGGAAAAATAAGTTTTGGATTTCTAAGTTAATAGGAACCTTTTCGCATTCAGTCCCCAAATTTTTTTGTAACCCTGCTATACTTTTAGGGCAGCATGCACTAACATCCCCGCTGGGTAGGGGATAGCAGCTCAAAAGAAAAGTTCATGTCCTGAAGATCCAGATATCTGGATTTCGCGCTGTCTATCCATCCGTAAGTATTTTACTACTCTTCACCACGAACATATACGGGGGCGAGAAACTATACAAGCCGCATTTTCAAGCTTTTGTGTAATCCTCTGATGATGCCCGGCGGCATCAGAGGATCATGCAACGTCATTTCTTCAAATCATTTTTTTTTGAAAGTTAAATTTTTTCGTTCTACTCTGCTACTTTTCACCACGAACATATTCAAGCTGTTGAATATGTTTGTGGTGAAGAGTAGTACAACGAACAGTACAACCTTCCAAAGTTGTACTGTTCGTTTAACCCAACAGTGCTAAGCATGTTGCTGGTAAGAACAAATGAGTTTTGAAAGATCGAATTTTTCGATAAACTCCAACTTTCGACTTGTGGTTCATCGCAAATTTCATGACTCCACTATATTATTTGTTTGTTGCTGGGTTAGATAAACTGTACAACTTTGGAAGTTCTCCGTTATTTGAGAGAAGTAAAATGATTTCGATGAAAAGACGATGATCATCTGGGGATCATACAAAAAGCCGAGAAAAGCGGCCTGTACAGCTTCGCGCTCCTTCATTATGTTCATAATGGAGGATGGTGAGAATACCTACGGATAGATAAACATCGTGAAAACCAGAAGTTCGGAGCTCCAGTATATGAAGCTTTCTGTTAAGCTGCTTCCCCTCCCCGAAGAGGATGTTCACACATGCGGCCCTTAGAAAAGGCAGTTTTGCGCAGCTGGCGAATGCAATTACGAAACGTCGTACTTGTAAAGTCCCACGCGGCGACAGTCACGACGTCTAACAGGGTCTGCGTCTGGACATGTCCGTTCCATAGCGAAGCTCGTCCCGAACTTCTAGACTCCTAAACAGCTATCGAGATGTCCTCTGTTCTATCAGGCTACCAATAGTTTTACTCCACAAAGGTTACCTTAGAACTTATCGTTTACACATGAAAACTGATGTACAAAAGTGCTGAACGAGAGTCAGGGCGTGCATACGCACGTTGCATGCACACGGTCGTCAGGGATCGTTCAGACCGCGCCGGTACCCGTCCAAACCCGCCCGAATACGTCCGAATCCGCCCGAATACGTCCAAATCCGCCCAAATACGTCCAAACCCGCCCAAATACGTCCGAACCCGCCCGAACGCCGGAACTGCCAAAGCGCAGCGGGTATGCGGCAAAGGCATATTGGAGCACGCGCTGAATACTGCGTGCCTCGTGCATATAACTTAGTCACACGTAGCTCGACGTTACATACTGATCTTTTGCAACTACTCCGATTTCACAAGGATCAATCCCATGCGTGCTCCAATATGTCAGTTTGCCGCATAGCCGCTGCGCTTTGGCAGTTCCGGCGTTCAGGCGGGTTCGGGCGTATTCGGACGTATTTGGGCGGGTTTGGACGTATTTGGGCGGATTCGGACGTATTCGGGCGGGTTTGGACGGGTACCGGCGCGGTCTGAACGATCCCTCAACGTTGCTGAAGGCAATGTCCCGGAAAAATTTCGATCTCTGGTTTTTCACCATTTCGGGGCTTTCTCGCCATTCTAAACCCACATCTGGGTTTTGTAGCGCTTGAAAATGGAGGAAATGGGATTTTTTTCCAAGGTTTTCCATGTTGGCCTTTGCTTGGAAACACGTGTAAATAAGCAGGCCCGGAACGAAAAGGCAGTCCGGAGGACTTTTGAAGTGGATTTTAGGATTTGCAGACGCGCTTTTCTCTCCAGACTTCACTGATAGATTAATTAGGGATCTGCCGTTGCAATGCTAAAATTCAAGTACCCATCATTTTGCCGGGACGCTGCTGGGACGCTTCAAGTAAACGCGCATTATATTCGCGTCCGCTTTGTGTTCTCCTTAGCTGATATTGTTTCTGTCTTCGTTCGGCAGTAGACTTTAGTTGGTGACATGGCTTGCTTACGATGTTCGACGGGTGTGGGACCAAACGATATGCATGCGCATAATGGACTTTGATTTGAAGACGAACTCGGACGCCGATTAGACGACTTTTTGGAGACCAGACCCAGGCTCGAAAATCTGACGACAAGGTTACAGAAGGTTGTGCATTACAGTGGAACGTACATTTTTGGTTGACTGATAAAGTTTCGTCATTTCGTTGGTTTATGTGAGTTATGAACTTATTATACGACCTAGTATGTATCGTACAATAGTTGGATTACTCGAAGCTCTCGTAATCCGTAAAGTATCTTGGGTCCTATTAGTAGCTCTACTACTTGGTGCTGGCAAGTTCTTTTTTCGCGGTGATGAAAACACGGCATAAATATGCTTGTGCATCAAGGAAAATTTTGTTCGATTTCTAACACGTTTCGGACCGGTGCTGCACATGGTGCAGCACGCTGCTTTGGAGGATCTTTTCGACGTTTACAGGAAGTTTCCTTTTAGTCCACGGTTATCAAATGAAAGACCTAAGCTTCTATTTTTCGAATAACTCTGAGTTGTGCCGCCGATATTTGTTCAGGAGATATGAACACAAACCAAACAACAGTTGCAACGAAGTGCGGCAACGCGATCGACGCGTGCGACGTCGCAACTTTTCTTTGCTTCGATTTCAAAGAGAAAAACCGTAGTTTCAATACTGATGTGTACGGTGCACAACATAGATACTTTTGGATACTATTAGAGACTGAGTCTTTGTCCCTATCTTTCAGGAAAGCACAGAAGTCCTTCACAAGTGACAAAATTTGAACACTTCGAACTCACTCAGAACTTTGGGTATGGAACTTATCTGACAAGCTGATTACAGATGTAGCACACAGTCTACGAAATAAGGTCCTTTTGTTGGCAAATGGCCAAAAGTGCACTCTTTTTCGCCGCGCGCGATTTCGCGGTCCGAAACGTGTTAAATGAATGCTTTCTGGAACAAGCTCAATTTGGTACAGTCTTACTGTTGTTTTTGGGTTGCATTTCGACTTCCTTGTTTGAACCCAATGTGTTTGATACCACGGAAACGAGCGCAGCTGCCTCAATCTGAGTTCAATCTCCGTGGTAATTCGCTTAGCCTGTACGCACTCTGACCCTGTACACCCTTTGCTAATTAGGTGAAGGAATTTCACGCTATGCTTTTTTACGGCCAAAGATCGCGACGTGTAACTTTTGCGCATCGCTTCTAAAAAGTGTTTGATTGGGTCGTTCATTGAGGATGGCCGTCGCCGAAAGACATGATTTATTTTGAAGCCCTGTCATGTTCTTTTCTGCAGATGTCTTTGATTGATGTAAAACCACAAGTTACTCTTTCTGAGCCGCTTTCCTTTATCCTTTGGTTAGATTACATACACTATTATATACTGGATGTTTTAAAAGCTCTGTCTCAAAAGTTTCATGAACGATAGCTTGTGCCAGCCATATGCGTTGCGTAGGTCAAATATTTTTCAAAATCTATATCTACGCTGTGATAATATTTCAAAATTCGGGAAAAAAAACGGTGAGAGCTGGGTATGCCCTAATTCTTACTGGGACGCCATTTTCAATCCACGAAGAGCATATCGATTCAAAAAATTTGATCTTATGCATGGCATATTGACAACCGCAGGAGTCCGTTAAGCTTATTTCCAGCTATTTCATCTTGGCATAAGTCCCTAGGCAAACTCAACTAATTACGATTGTTTTCAAAAGAACCATTGCGGGCTCAATAAATTGCTTTATTGTCTACTTCTGATTAAAAAAATTTGCAAAGACCACTCATTCAAATCTCAGCACTTTTTTTTATTTATCTCTTTCACCGCAACATTTGAGACTTGTCTCCAATCATCAAGACATGAATGAGCTAGCTCCGACCTTACCATTGAATAAGTAAGTTTCGCAATTATACTACGCTTCTGATCTACAACAATGGATCATCTTTATGAAGATGGTTTTTTCGTTCAAAGTTTCTTGAGAATTATATTTCAATAACCATTATGAAGCATAAGACACCTTGTATGCTATTGTGAAGGTAGAGAAAAGGAAAAGATTATTACGGTGCTTGCGAAGTCGTAGGTTGTGTAGGCCCTGAAGCGATAGCTTACATAAAACTAGAAAAAAAGGGCAAAGTTCGAAGCAATGTGTATAAAAAGCTTTCTTTATTCAAAACTAGGAGGTCAAAGAAAGGGAAGTAATGCGGATAGACTTTTTGAAACTACCCGGTGCTCAAGTACAGTTATCCAACTTCTATGGCTGAACACGAGTTCCTTCAATAGTAAGCGGACAACAGCTGCGCGAAACTTATCCATAACCAAGTTTTAGTGGAAAGAGAGAGCATGAAACTTAGAGGCTTTTTCCGTAGAAGGCAGTTTTCGGGACGTTAGCGCCGCAAATATCACTGCTAACAACGAAAGGATATCCAGGCCTTTCCCGAAATTAACATACATTCGGAATCGGTTCAAAAAGCTTGCTTTCTCCAATTGCGAGCGCCATTTCCTAGTGAGATGTGGTATTCCTATATGTACCGACATCCTGATTACTATAAGAACAGAAATTTATCCAAAAAAGCTGCTGGTGTATAATATGACGAACCGTTTCGTGACCCACCTTTCAAAGATTCATGAAGTACGTGCTTCCTTCTATGAAAACTCTCTATAGATTTTATTAGGACGTCTACATCACGTGCCGAAAAAATTTGATATGTTTCATTCAAAATCATTTTCGGTGAGGAAGAGAACTTTCGAGATGAACCAAAAGTCGTTCAGGTGGTTCTCGCAGAAGCAAAACACAAATTTTCGTCTCTTTTTCGATTGTTTCCGTCATGCAGTTTCAGCCAGAAATCAGTCCAAGTTAGCGTGAAGTAGCTGCTCCTTGTTTCGTCGCAGGATGAAACTCTGTAGCGATCTTCCTTTTGAGCAAATCTCATAATCATATTTAGAGAGAACGAAATTATCATAGTTCTTTATCATGAAGGAGACTTCAAAATGGATGAAGTTCAATCAAAAAATAAACAGAGTGATCTCACGTTAGTACGTATGCGACAGAAAACTTGGTAAAACTGTGAAACATGTACATGTCAATTTTTTTGAAAGTGACTTTTTTTGCCTTTCCAAAAGCTATTCATTGAAATCCGATAAAAATTTACGAATGTTACCTGCATGCCGGTAGCGTCTTTAGAAGAAATTTGAAAGCTGGGGAAGCAAGGCAGTAACTCCTGGACTATATTCTTTCGATAAGTTTTCTAAATAAGCATCCATTTGGATTCCGTTGGTGGGGCCAGGGCTCGGCACGAGGTGGCTAGTTGAAAATCCAAAAAACGAATTCCCCCTTGATTTTGCGGATTTTACAAAATCCCCTTTGACCCTAGACCATATTCCCTAAAAAATCTCCAAAAAAACGAAACGTCGACTAAGAAAAACTTCACAATTTTTGTGTCTTTTCGGTCTCGAAAACGAAACCCCCTTTGCTTTTTGTCCCGAAAACGATATCCAGCTTGTTTATGAGCCACCTGTGCCGAGCCCTGGATGGCGCAGCCTTAATACTTTTTGAACCATGATTTTTCGCTTCCGTTGCGCGATTGCATCCAGTTTTCCAGTATGCGAGTACATTTGCCTTCACTTGAAATTCCAAAATTTTTTCCCTAAACATTACAAAAAAATTCTTTATAATATGTTTCAACCAAAGGCTTGTCTATATTGCACATTTGCCAAGGTGAAAGAAGCAGTTATCATCATGGCGGGCATAAATTTCATTACGACTACCTGCGTGCCACAACAGATGGGCTCGCTAAGATCTTAAAATGCTGTGTGGAGGCCAATGAGGCAAATTCAAAATATAAAAACTGAGGTGTCTTTGTACAATTCGAATTATGTGTGCACCAAGCTTTTCGCTTCTAACAAGGAAAGGATACTTGGTGATCCCGGCCATTTGGTTTGCGATGCATACCATAAGGTGCATCTCGAAACGCTGATTCGAAATTTGTGTTCGAAATATGCGAAACGATGATATGAAAGCAATTGTGACTTTTTTCGTAAAAAAATTTGCGTACTTTAGGCAGTTGAAATCACCCAATTTGGTCTCTATTTTACCGTTTGAAGCTATTGGGGAGAATCTCGAAAGGTGTACTTTGTAATTATACCCATTTAAATCATATTCAGCATTTGAAGTAGAAAGAAAATTTTCTATTAATGATTTTCAATCTCCGCAGTAGGGCAGTTCATTCTTGAGAAAATAATTTCAACTCCATCCAGGTCCTCGTTTCGCAGATATGGAAAACGGCACTCGGACCAGCATTAAAAGGCGCATTTTTTGATATACAAACCATCATGAATGGCCGGGATCACCGAGTATCCTTCCCTACAGGTACTTTCCTTTCTATCTGGAAAAGTAGCATCCCATACTTTTGATGCACTTTGTGGTAGTTCAGATCTTCTTTTCTTTTTTTATGGGCTCATGAGTGAATACCCATCCCATCTCGGTTAACATATTCAAGGCTAGGTTTCGTGGAAATTATGTCCTTTTCTATTTATAAGATTCACAAGTGTTTCAAAATTTTCTGAGAAGTTGCTGTCAAAATGTTATAAGAGCGAGTCGTTTCCTAACGATCCAACCTATCAAGACTTACTGGATTGTCCACGAAAGCATGGACAGCAGATTTTATGCCCAAATGGGTAATTTGCGCAGTGCTCGTGCCATCCTCAAGCAGAGTAGGTCATCTTGCCCTTGAGTCGTATAAAAAATGCAATAACCCATTCAAATACTGTCAGACCAAATTAGTTTCATAAATATCGGCTTTACAATCTAAGACCTCCCCTACAATTCTATCTTGTTATCTGCAAATTCGGAATCAAAAACTATTTCAGTTCTCGTTTCATGAGTTCTTCTCAGGTACTCTTACTAGAAAAAACTTTTGTGGGTCAGGAAGAGTGGTAGAAATGCTAGCTCTCAGACTCAGAGACGACAGCGAATGTGCCTCTTTATTGGAGCTTAAGCACTAATTATACTTGCTTATGAAATTAATTTTTTACTATCTGGTCTATACCGCCATGGACCAGTTAATGCGATGTGCCGTAGAGCAGCGAATTGCGAGATCAAATTGTATTCGTTTATCAACACATTTCTTCAATAACTTATTGTGTATTTGTTGTGCAGAGATGTGGTTTTGCCCTCACACTTACTAGAGACTCTCGATTGTATTTTGTGCCCAGAAAATGCTTTAAAACAACTTAAGTCTATTTCGTCACACTCTACTCTGCTGTTTTGTTGGTAGGGGACTTTTATTTCGCTGCTGGATGCGCAGGGTCATTGCAAAGTATTAAAGAAGTATTGGCAAGAAAGACGACGATTAACTTTGCGCCATGGCCGGCATTATCCATTCAGCCTCAACATTCTTCGCCTTTGTTATGATCATTCTCAATATGATTCGATTCCATTCTCGTTCATGTTTTCAAAATCGTAAAGTCTGTCTCAATAGGCTAATCACTTGGTTCCTTGCTGAGTACATAAATTTCAATAAAGCTACACTGTGAATCCCATAGAGGAGTTTCTTACCAGAACTGTACGCAAAGAATTGTGTGAAGGTTGACACACTGACAATAGTAACGCTATATAGAAAAACCTTACGATTTGTGGACCTACGAAGATTGCGGCAATTCGTACATGACCTTTTTCCATACAAAGTGTTCAATGGTGTATGACAACCTCATCACACATCCGCTTTCTACTATACTGTTTTTGCTGTTCATTTCGTCGGGGATTTTCGTAATATCATCATGATCTTGCATTTCCGCGTGACCTTTTTAATTTTCTAGGTACAGTAGTTGAGCTTACGGTCTATCCCCACTTTCTTACAGATTTTGTAGCCAAAGTAGGCACTGATTCGGCACTCTAGTATTTTTATTTTTATCGCTTAAGCCATCAAATTAACACTGCTTTCCCACTGGTCTAGATGAGATCTGCTTTTCTGATCCTGGCTTTGTTCTCTTTGAAGGAAGTCGTAACCCAGGTAACATTTTTCTCCCTTCTGTGATGTTAATATGCCTAGATTTCGATTTAGTATATTGCCAACGATGTTGTGAGCGAATACGGGCAAGTTAAAGAGTTGCTAGCCGAGTTCTACAGAAGAACAGCTCGAAAGTACGGACACGATTACGTGAGTCATATTTTTTTCCGCCAATTTCGCATCTTTATAAAAATCCCTATTTTCCTCAGTTGACTGACACGATCGTCGTACCTTTCAACTTGCTCCAGTACTTTACTCACTTTTATTCATGTTGTTCATCTTGTATGCACCAAGAAAAAATGCTGAACACGCATGAGAGCAGCTCGTCTTCAGTTTAAAGGAGATAAACGTATGTAATATCCAAAGTAGGAATCCAATCAAAGAACTATCAGATTCTGCACAAGTTCACACTAGATTAGTAAATTACTGGGTCAACAATCAAAATGAAATATTAGGCTACACCTATCCGGAAGTTGAGGCTAATGATCACTTTCCCAGGCTCCATAACACTTTAGCCTTATTAAGTTCTGCTCTTTTGTTTGTCTCTATTTGTTGAATTTTTAGCTTGAATTTTCTTTGCGAAGCTCGAAATACCTCTAACAAGGGAAGGATACCAACATAATCTGGCAAACCAAGAAGAGATGTATATTAGTAGACGCGCCTTCATACGCTAACTCCACACCTGCTTTCCTTTTCTGCAGAACAACTCTGTAAAAGAAGTAATAAGCGCTTGAATGTCTAAATTTGTCATGTTTATAGTGCCTTAAAATTAGCTAAAAGCTCTAAAACAACACCTAGCGGAATTCTGCTGGCTGTGTTTCGTCCTTGTAGTTAGTATACTTGATGCAAAACTGATAACCCACTTTCACGTGTTTTTGTACAGCTTTCGCGAATTTTATCCCACTATAGACTTGACACATTCGGACTTTCAAACGTTCATAACTTTATTCTGAGAGTTGTTCCGCAGAAAACGAAAGCAGATTAGAAATCAGCGTTTGAAGATGCTTCTAATGACATACATCTCCATCTGGTTTGCCAGATCATGTTGGTATCCTTCCCTCAAAGCAATTCTTATGAGCACTCTGGAAAGCCGCTAGACGAGAATTCGAGTTGAATCATCCATATATAACAAGAATGTTTTGTGCATTTGATAGATAAAATACTAGACACATACAAAAGAGTCTTAGAATTTTTTCTGAGTTTTTGAACACTGTCCGATTTTGGGGCTATGAACTATACCGGTAGTGCAGCTTCTCTGATGTCAACATCCAGCTACGAACCACAGCGGGATTACCGAAAAAAAAGTTCTCTTTTCTGCCATTTGGGACATTGCGAATTGGCTTATCGTTTTTAAAGAGAAATGGTCCTGACCCCAAATACTTGATTCGAAGTCAAGGTTCTCACTATTGCACTCTCCGAACCGTTACAGAAAAGGTCGTTCAAAAAATCGCGTGCAAAGCTTGAAGCAATTTTGAAGATCGCAATGTGTTCCAAACCTGCTCTTGTAATCCAAAACAATTACGAGCTGCATTTCCTGTTAATTTTCGGCAAATTTGACAGATAATGAATTATATGATGACATTATTGAGAATGTTTGGCGTAATTTTTGAATTTCCAAAACGATCAATGTGCACTCATGAATGCTTTTGCATGATATTCATTTTGTTCCAGTTATGTTCGCAATACCCAATCTTTTGCTAATCCCGCTCTTTTGATAAAAGTGACTCACAAGTGAACCAACACACAAAACACGCAATAAATTTCCCACTCGCTATTTCTTGCATAACAAAGGGCCTTTGGTTTGCGCCTATTGCAAGATATATGCATTCTTTTTGAGCTTTTGATAGCACGGCACTATCGTCGCCATAAACAGTAATTTGTGAAACTACATATTCCTCTTTAGGATGCAATAAAATGTCTCCGAACAAGTACCAAAATTTTGTCTGTCTGGTTACCGTAGGTTGCCTGTCTGATTACCGTATGTTAGCTAGTCATTTTCCATGAATCTTATCAGATTTTGGCTTACGCTGGGAAGCAACCTTACTACAAAAAACAGCACATAGTAACCTATTGAGTAAAAATTCAAAAAAGATTCGAGGAAAATGACTAGCTACCATAAACCTATCAACAGCTTTTCCGTTCTGACCAATGATGGTGAAAGGACGGTAATGCTGCAAGAGAAATTGGATATCGACATCTAAACTTATAAACTGTCAAAACCTTTCCTTCTTTATATGGAATCATTCCACTGATAAAGACACAAATTTCCGATTTTAACAGACTCCTTACAAAGGGTTCAAGCGCTCAAAGATTGCAAATTGGTGTTAATCCCTTGGTCTCCGAAAATCGCGATGCTACTCTCCCTACAATCTGTTGTAGGATCCAGCAACTGTTCTACATCAAGCACAAGTCAGAGGCGGTGACGATGGTACAGAAGCGAGTATTAACAAGCATATATGGTCGGAACTATTCGAGAATGACATCATTCTTACACTTGCACAAGCTGAAGCACTACTGCTAGAGCTGAGTAGGTGACGTCAACATAAAGTGCGGAGGTCTACTGAGATATTCTCACATTCAGACATGAAACGAGGTAAGAGGCAAGCCCATCCAAATCCAAACACATTTTGGCCAAATAAAACTATTTCCTACGAATTTGGCTATCAAGAAGGTGAGGTGTTCTAGTCTTGAGTTGAAGATACAATTTAGTAAAACATTCCAGCCACTTTCCAAAATGTGATACGCTCAGCGCTTCGACATATTGAGCAAAACACATGCATCAGATTTAAAGAGAATGGAAAAGACAGGTGCCCTTCCACTTTCAATCCATTTTTAGTCGAAACTGCAAAATCATATTTTAGAGATGGATTGAAGTATTTTCGCGGAAGTGGATGCTGGTCCAACGTCGGGAGAACCGGTGGTCGCCAGCTGATCTCAATTGGGTATGGATGTGAATCTGTAAGTTTTTCAGCTTTCCCTTGTTTGGAAATAATTGTCTGAAAAAATCATAAAATTGATATTCTAGCTTGGCATCATTGCTCACGAAACACTTCACGCCCTCGGCTTGTGGCACGAGCAGTCGCGTGATGATAGAGATAATTATATTAGAATTGTGCCTGAAAGGATAGTCAGGGTAGGTGGCTATTTCTTGTGGGTTGGACTCTTAAGCTGCTTCCGGAGTCTGTGCCAGCGCCGTGCCAGCGCAGTGCGGGACGTCGATCGATCAGGGGCGCGGCACGTACGCTGTAGGCCCTAGCCAGCGCTGGCACGTTGCTGGCACAGCTACGGTACACGTGCAAGTTTGGACGTTACCTTACAATACAACAAAGAAATATAGGGCACATACGGAAACTTCGAGAAAAGGACTGCAATGACAAGTGAAAATTTGGGTCAGCCTTATGACCTCGGCTCAGTAATGCATTACGGCTCAAAAGCTTTTACAAACGATTGGAGCGTGTGAGTGTATTCAAGAATGTTTTCTCTGCAGAGCAGTTGGCCTTCAAGTCCTTTTACAGAAACACCATAGAGACAAAGGATGAAAATTTTCAAAATACCATAGGACAGCGTAATGGGCTGACATTCAAAGACGCGAAGATGATAAACGTGCGATATTGCTCAGGTACATAAATTCAGTGTAGCGATCATGAAGGACAGCAAAATTCGCTTGCGACACCGAGTGTTCATTCTTGCCATGCAAAACGGAAGCAGAAAAGGACCCTTTGAAAAATTCACACAACTAAGCAAATATAAGTGAATTGTTACGAGATCATGGTGCTCCTAACAACAAGCTTTTTTCATCGATACAGATGAAAATGGTCTTAACTCGCATGAGAATAACGCTCTATGGCCATGGTCGTTTGATTTTGGTGCATATCGTATATTTTTGAACGCTGATTTCAAATCTGCAATCCGTATCTGCGGATCTCTAGAAGGAGTTATGAAAGCCCAAAAAATCCCAGCTGAGTTATTCTCAAGGACTAGAAGTGATAATTTGCGTTGGTGGCACTGTGTAGTGTAGGGTTCGAATTCCGTGGAAAATGAACCCTTTTGCAATTTGCGTGCAAATTCGATACGCATTCGAAATCGTTTTCAGGCACTTGCAGTAATGTCTTTGGCATGTTTTATCCCTAAAAACAGAGTGTGTATCGAACTCACAATCAAAATGCAAAAGAACTCGTTTTCGAACTACCGACCAATCGCTCCTAATATCAGCACGTTAACCCCTACACCACTGGACCAATACGCACAACGGCAGCTCCCCGTCCTTGCGGAGGCCCCTAAATTGGGATTTCCAGACGTCCATAACTCGTTCCAGAGAAGCGTTCTGCAGATGCGGGATACAGATTGATATTTAGTCTTCAAAAGCACTCTAGACGGTATGCATTTTATGTCAAATGGCCACGGCCATTGTAAATATTAGGGTCCAAGATTAGGTTTCAAAAATCATGCCGCCTTGCATCCTACCACGGAGATCACGAAAAACAGTGAATGGGGTACCATTCGGTAGAGCAAAGGAATCTCCACAAGAAGGCCTCCAAACATTTGAACAGTCTATGATTTACGTAAAGTTTGAAGCGAAAATTTTCGAATCTTAGTCCATAGAACTTCCTACGGATCTCAAATTTGCTCATGCATGTATACTCTCCACATCAGACATTCACAAGTATAGTTTCTGGAATGTTTCCATGACTAGAATACGATGAACAATAATGGGTCAAAAAAGCGAATATATTTTTTTGCGATAAGTTAGGTTTTTATCGATAGCCCTTGTAGAAAGCCTATTACCTGATTGTTACTTCCAAACGATTATACTAAGGCCCGTATGCACGTACCCTCGATATCATCCCATATGTCTTCCCTCAACATGACGTGGACTACGTGGCTTGATGAGGCGCCGCCTCGCCTCGGGCTCGCGCCACGTTCCGAGCGCATCGTTTGGCGCGACGTGGCGCTCAACACAACGTGGCGCAAGCTTTTCCACGTTCTTCTTGTTGCCACATCACGCCGAAAATGCGCACGCAACGTGGCGCAAGCCCGAGGCGAGGCGGCACCTCATCAAGCCACGTAGTCCACGTCATGTTGAGGGAAGACATATGGGATGATATCGAGGGTACATCCCCTCGAGGAGGGGAGAGGATCTGAGAGGGGAAGTGTCATATCTCGCTAGTCTATATATCTTTCTTCTTCTTTTTCTATCTTGCTTTTAAAGGTTCTAATACACTGATATCTGCGCATAACGGATGCCAGGTTACTGCCATACAAGATTAGATATTCATAATTTCATCTGATCCCCTGGGGATCCCCAGGGGATCACCTCACATTTTCAAAGTCATTTATCTTCCTGAAAATCAATTAAAATTCTCTGAAATTGCACTGAGGACATACTACAGCGCTGCTAAACATACAGGGTTTTTAAAAAGTTCGTGGCCTAAAGTATTTCTAATTCGAATTTTGATGCGTTTTTTGTTTGATTGTGCCCATCGGACCTAAATACCATCACTTCTGTAAAAATTAGATTTTTTTGTGGTTTCTTTGATTTTTTATTAGATTGAAACACATCAGAATAGCTTTCCAAACCCCTTCCCTCAAAACGCTTGTTACAAAAAAGGAAACATAATTTTCAGAAAACTTAGTATACCTTCTTAAAGCCTTTTCTTCAAAGTTTCTTAAGTGTGCTCTCACTTTCGTAGAAGTAAGTTTGTTTGAAAAATATCGTACCGCGAAAGCCAAGAGATCCACTTTCAGGATCTTTTTGTCAAAAAGTCCAGCACCGAAATTTTTATATCTTATCTTAAAAACCTTTGCAAGCGTGCAAATTTCTCGAAAACGAATACAACGAAGGCCAGAGAGTTGTGCTACAAATACATGTTGAAATAAAACTTCTAAATTTTTTCAAACTGAAAAAGTTTCAGCGCAAACAGGGTGCCGCGCCTGTCTGCTGTGATTCAGCGCATAAAAAATCTTTGTTAGCATGCTAATGTAGAACTTTTGTTATATAAAGAAAGTGTAAATCTAGGACTATTTGTAGTAAAAAAACCAAAAGCTGTTTGCCTTTTCCGGCGTTGGAAAAAAAGAACAAAACAGATGACGCACTCTCCAAGGAAGCTGAAAAAATTGTTTACTTCCAAATTTTTTAGGGTATTTTGAGGCAAAAAATATTTTTCTTTGTTGATTCAGTGGTTTCAAGGTTTGGAGAACACATATAGCAAAAAACGCGTCAAAATTCGAATTGGAAGTACTTTAGGCCACGAACTTTTCAAACACCCGTATTTATGGTAGAAATGAGTGAAATGTCAAGATATCAAAATCTTCGATGAACCGCTGCTCGCGAGCCAGGGATCATCGAAAAAATCAAAATCTTCAGATTCCATTTCTTCTGTCGAAAACATGTTCAGCAGTATCGTAGTATATCTTCCGTACAGTTTTGCACCGTTTTCATTCAGTTTTCAGGAAGATAGATAACTTGGAAAATGTGGGATGATCCCCTGGGGATCCCCCAGGGATCAGAAGAAATAGTGAAAATCTAATCAATTATGCCAGTAAACTCATCCGTTATGCGCAGGTATCAGTGTATGAGAAACTTCATAAGCAAGATATAGAAAGATGGAGAAAGATATGTAGACTAGCGAGATATGACGCTTCCCCTCTGAGATCCCCTCCCCTCCCCGCGGGGATGTACGTGCATACGGGCCTAAACAAACACCTATCTAAAAGGAGCTCAGGATTGCTTTGACGAAAGTATGGCAAATAGTTTCTCGAATTATAGTCATGCAAAAATGAAAGTGTGCATAAGAGCGTTTGATGTGAGAGTGCGTGTGTAAGCATGCTAGACGGCATCCGGGATACTTGGACGGAAATATTTTCAATTTTTCAGGCCTTAGTGCCTTTTGAAATTTAGCTCGAATCTCATTGAATCGAACTTGGCGCAAATATTTTGAGTTTCATTTTGTAGAGCTTGCTTTCGTCTACCGGCTGGTATTCCGCCTACTTTTTTCGTGCTCCCACTGCCGCGATAGAGCACAATAAAACACGATGCGACATTATTTTCCAGACAACCTGATATAATTTATACATTTTAGATATATGTCGCTATCAGTTATCGTGCTCAAATGATGGTTACACCGACCCGAACGATTGCAGCAAATGTCGATGTCCAAAAGGATTTGGTGGTACTTACTGTACACTGATGGAACAAAGCAAGTCTTAAGCTTTTTTCCATATACTCATATAATTGAATATCAAATGGCAGTAAATAGAAAATGCAGAGGAAATGAGAAACATCATAATGGAGGAACGGAGAATGAGTTTGTTACTTTCAGCCTTTTGCGGGGGAGATCTCACAGCGTCGCCGGCATACCAGACCCTAGATAGTGGTTATGTCTATGCGAATAGTAATTGTGTATGGAGGATAAAGGTCAGTTTTTACTAAGAAGCTTACTTTTTCGAATTTGAATGAGAACGACTCGACCATTCGGAGTCTCAAGATTTATGAACATCGATCACTGTGGTGGCTTTGCCGGACCATTTCCATACCTAACCCATACTTTCGGTAGTCTACAAACAGATTGAAAGTGAAAGTTGTTTGGATCCCTCCCTTTCTTGAAGAGTGAAGATTGTCTGTAGAGAAGTAGAGAAGAAAAAAAAGAAGTGGAAGAATTAGAAAAGCACATGAAACTGAGAGAATGTGTAAATACAATGCACTAGACTTCTTCTGCCGGTATTTCAAAGCGCAGATTTTTTTGACCTCCGCCTCGCAAATCAGAGTTAACGGGGAAAGCTGATTTTTTCTTTCGCGATTTCCTCCAAAACACTTAAGATTCGAATATGGCGATCGCCTGGAAGAGGATGTAAAGGAGACATAGTTATATCAACGAGAAGTTTGAACTTTGAAGACAAAGTGCACGTCAACAATGCAGTTTTTGATGCGTCCTTTGACTGTCTCCGTCTTGTTGTTTATGATCCCGGCTACGTTCCTACGTTAACTGACCATTGTGAGCAAGAAACCACTAAGTATGAAAGAAATGATTGCGTACTCACTCCAATTTATTCGCCTTTTTAGTGCAAAGTGAATTAGTATGCAAGTGAAGCTAACAAGGGAAGTCAGGTAACTTGATTCGCTTCCTGAGATGGGACGCATATACCGGACTCAGCTGTGGAAGCTGATAAATATGCTATTCCTAGCTGCGGCACATCATTCTGAAGCGAGTTATTGATTTTTTATGTACGAATTTGGCGTATCGATTAACATGGAAGAAATACCTATAGTAGAGATCTGCCCGAAAAAAGTGCTGCAGTATGAAAAAAAGGACAGATTAAATCCGTTGTTGTTAACAAATTGCTTGACACAGTGTATTTACACTCGAATGTTACCACAATTAATTCCAGTAGGTCAGATGAGCAACCGGTTTCAACACGAAAAATCAATAAGTTGCTTCAAGAATGATGTGCCGCAACTAGAAATAGCATATTTGGAATCAGCGTGAAGCGGACCCCAAACATACATGTCTCATCTCAAAACCGAATCTAAGTTACCTGATTTCCCTTGTAAGAAGAGTACCGCAAGTTTTTACAAGTTCTCACAAAATTCGCCACAATTGAAAAAGTAAGCTCACCGACATTGTTTAAGTTATAGACAGAAACAAAATCCACTGAATGCACGAGAAAACCGCGTGGAAAGAACTAAAGTGAAATAAGATAAGGATAAGAAGGAACGAGATATTTCCGAAAACACGATTTTTGCCAGATTTCTCGTTCATACCAAAAACAAGGTTTGGCAACGTTGCCAGGCTGAAATTAAAGATCAAGAGCCACGGTATTATATACAGTTTGCTATACATATGATATGAAGTTTGCTAGGATTAGGTTCAGGAGCGGTGAAAAGGGTACCAGAGGCAAAGGCCGCGGAGAGCGCGTTCAGAGTAGCGAGGTAGCGCGCAATACGTGGAGGCGCAGATGCGTAAAGAAGAAAGAGCAGAGCCGACGGGGCATCTGGCTCTGGACATGGATCTCAGCGAATTCCTAACGAAACTCTGCAACATCATACATCAATCTTATCGTCATGACATGATTAAAAGCACTGATAACGCCGCCACGCTGCAAATCACTCCTTGTAGGCAGCGTACACGCAAAATCTAAGTTACCCAGTTTTCTATACCGTGTACATCTAGAGCCCAGAAGAAGACCAACTCGTTGGTTCGGTCTCCCAATGTTGCTTCTGAGCGGAGAAAATCTGCTTAATTTTTCTTTCACTCCGCCTCGTTCGGACTTTATCCACGTTAGCGTAAGCTGCAGTTGCCGTCGCAGTTGCTGTTGCACTGTTGCAACTGCAACTGCAGTTGCAACAGTGCAGTTGCTTTCTACGGTCCGCCTCCTTCATACGACGAATCCAGTTGCAGCTACAGTTGCAACTGCAGGCTGTCATGCAGTTGCAGCTGCTCCTCGCTGGCATGCCGACGGGGTCGAGCAATTCGAAACTCGTCCTCCTTTTGAAGAGAGGGTCCCCGGGAATCGGGGACCCTCTCTACAAAAGTCATAACTGTGATCAGGGGCACGAAAAGGCCCCAGAATGACAAAAACATCGAAGGCGAAATTTTAGATGTACGCTGTCTTAAACGGTTCAAATTAGCGTTTTTGCGCACTCTCTGCACATTATTAAACTTCAACAGCCTTCAAAATCTTTAAGACTCATTCATAGTCCAAAAAGAGAATACTCAAAAAACTTTGTTCTAATTTCCAAGGTAGTATGCACGAAAACTTTGTTATTAGCACGAAAAAGGCTGAGAAAACACAATTTTTCGGTTTTGATGGGATATTCTTGAGTTATTACAGACTGCATTTCCTTTGCACCATTTTTTTGGCTCCTGCAACCATATTAGATAGCAAGACTTTGGTCAAATGCAATAATTCTTCAGTGAATATATAGTCTTGCCTGTTCCTGCCTGTTCACCTTTGTTTTTCATTTTGCGTTCCTCATAACAACTATCCATGGATAATGTGCTGTACTCTGGGATTAATCAGGCACGGATAAAGCTCTTGCTGCATCATTATAACAAAGGGATTGTATTCTTAGAATATAATATTTGTCTAGCTGCTCTCAGTCTATAGCAATTCCTTTCAAGAATATCTCTCAATTTCTAATTTAACATTTTCATGATAGTCATCGGGCGGGCAGAGACTCGAGGTAACCTTCGATACAGTCAGTTTTCCATGCTTCGACGCTTGTACAAGTTTTGTTGAAGTGAAGGCTGCACGTAATAAAGCTACCACTGGTGAGGCAAAAATAATTCAATTTTTGTTACTCAAAGATAGCCTCATAAAAGTACTCCAGGTGCTCGGCTCTGCTGTAAATCGGGACAAACATTCTACTCTGAGGGAGATGATGTGATACTGGTATTTAAAGGAGACTCAACACTTCAGACTGGCTACCAAGGCTTCATCGCACGATATAGACACTGTAAGTTTTGATCTTACTCGGTCAGCCAGAGCTGAAAATTGGATGCATTTCCAGATGGCAGCCCCCTTCCCACGCAAGAACCCCCAACGACAACAACTAAGAAACCTACAACGACTACAATGAAAACAACGACAAGAACAACAAGAGCAACAACAACAGAATCAGTACGTGTGATAATGTACAGATGTTTTTGCTACCTTTTTTCGCCTCTGTTTAAGCTCAAAGCGCTGATTATCAATTTATAAGTAAATACTGAAAGTCAGAACCTCAGCACTTTGATAACTGTCATGCTGACGAAATTTCCGAAATCCTCTCACTTCTCACGCGTTCCTGGACTGAGCAAATTCATAATCTCATGAAAGTACCCTTTAAATCGATTGGCTTGGCGGCTGGAAGGCGGGGCTTCGTGACCTAAGTGAAGCTAGATGACGATCAGAGAGCACGCGCGCGAGAGAGACGCGGACTGCGTAGCGGGCGCGAGAGGCCTTAATTAGGTCACAAAGGCTCGCCTTCCAGCCGCCAAGCCAGTTGATTCCATAGAGCACAAATTCTGAGTTTCCTATTCATGATTCCAAATATTCCCAACTAACGTTTCGTTGTTATGCTTCACAAATGTTGATAGTTGCTCGGTGTTTTGATTAGACTATGAATATTTCGAGAATTTTTTCAGCAATTATGGTTTGAGGAAATAAACCCATGAATTTTTCATAAGAAGTGTAAATGAAGTCGTTTGCAGATGATCAAAACAACTTTCTGGCGACAAAAACATTTTGCAACTCTTACGAGGAATTCAGTGGGGAGAGGAACGTGGAAAGATTCAGATCATAAAGCACCTAGTCTAGAATTTTTTTCAAATGTAAAGCGTAAATCAAGCCACACCCCTACGCGAGAAACAGAAGCAAAACAAGGAAGCTGGAGTTGATTTCAACAAAATTTCTCATTACATCTTGTTTGAATGGACATTTAGCCTCTCAGAACAATTTCTTCAATAAAAGTAATCCTTAGCCAAAATTGTGGGTGTTTCATTTCAAATGCAACCAGCTCATTAATGTGCTGGTTGCACCTGAAACCATTGCCATTTCACCTTAGTTTAGCGCTCTCACCCACTGTACCATCCTTATTAAACTCCTCATAATTTTTTTCTACAATTCGTATGACCCCATATTTTCAATCGGACACACTAAACCAATCCATAGCAAATGAGATTATGAACAAAATTTTGCGTAAGCTAAGTGCAAATACCATGGTAAGGCGAGTCATCGTACGGAGAGAATGATTTCAATTGCAAATGCTGTCGGGTTTTCCCTAGCTCTAATCAGAGGCACTTCTCGGCTTTCTTAACGCTTGCTACCTCTTCCGAACACGAACAGCAGTTGGACGCAAAGGCATTCACTTGCCCAAGTCCCACCTTTCAATATATTGTGAGAGTTCCAGAATTTTCGAGAATTCGTATTCGTAGACATATGCTATTGAAACCACTCACATTCCTTGCAGTCACACAGCTTTTGCAGTTCCTCAAGCCCGCTGAATGGGGCATCTGGGGTCCTTGGACATCGTGCAGTGTGACCTGTGGAGGGGGATTGCGCACGCGGGTTCGCGGTTGCTATGGCGGAAATCGACTCTGCACGTGAGTGAAGTTTCTCTCAATCGGAACTTTAAAATCTAGCAGTAAGTCATTTCAGAGGCTCTTCGCTACAAACACAATACTGCAACTCGCAACAATGTTCTGTCAGTACCCAGACAATGTGCACAGGACGAGTTTTGCTTCCATGTGATTTAGCGGATAACATTTTGTTCGGACGAGAGGGTCAGCGATACCCTGGTGAGTCACGATCTTGTGTGACGAATTCAAGCAGTTTTTGAATCATATCCTTCAAAATATCATAGATCTTTTCACAAATCAAAGCCAACCATATTCCAGCTAATCAATTGCAGAAATTTCGGATACAGAAACTTGTGCGAGTACTGATGTATGAAAAAAATTGCAAATGGTGGAAACAACTATGACATACTCAACTGCTCAACCGCTCCGCACTTCGTCTTGCCAGTATCACTGCAAAGGTTGTCTAGATTTGATCGTGCCAGCATCATTTGCTGTCCTGCTGGTGCCGTGCCAGAACTCTGATGGTCATTGACCATGACCCCGTGCGTCCAATGGATCCGACACGGCGCTGGCTTTGGTGGCATGGCGTCGGCACACGAGCAACTCTAGACCACTATTAGGAAGGTGTTCGCAAACCTTTTAATGAATGCCTGAACATTTTCATCAAATAGCTCCTCATAACATTAAACCTTTTTCGCTGCCTCATTAAGTAGTGTCGCAGTTAATCTTTGACTTTTTATCATTCTTTTCAGCACGAGATGAGAGTCAAAGTTCCCTGTCTTTTTCACCTTACCAGAAGAAATGCTTCAATTCCGAAAAGTCACCGATTAAATTCCACTGGAAAGGTAGAAGATCTTCGAGAGCTGCCGACACCTACATCTGCGAGAAGTAGGTTTTCATTAAACTATCAAGTCTTCGGCTGTTTGGCTAGTCCACAGTGTGGAAGATAATAGACCAAGGGAGCGCTTTCTGTTTTTACTTTCATAAGATAGCTTCACTTTGATGGCGTGATGGCGAACAGAAGGGACGAATTTAACCTCTATGGCTTGAATATAACAAAATTGCAGGAGATTTACTTATGAATGTCCAACATCTCTGCTCACAATCAATCTGAACTGGAAAACCAAATCTAAAGTTTCACGCAGCAGTTGGTACAGGGCTTATGATGAGATTCGTCGATAGTTTTTCTTGCTGTTGAAATCATTTCCGTTAAATACTGTTTACATAATACAGGTTTATGAGAATTGTGATATCGAATTACTTTGTGTGCAATGCTGTAATGGTTTAATAAAGAAGTTAGCTTGGATATTGTATTAAACCATAAATTATACAACTACCTAGTCTAATATCAAAATCTCAGCCATTTTGCCAATTTTGAACGTTGACTGCGCAAATAGGATTTACGGATGACTACTTGATTGAGGTTTACCAACCTTCCGTACCTGTAGCGCACTGTGACACACCAGGCACAAAACCGTGACCATTGTGCTAGCTATATTTTAGGCTTATTTTTTACAAGGACATAAACAGAAGGCATTGAATCTATTCCCAATAGTCTGCATATTCCTGAATGCAGCATGGAACGCTGACTCAATACTTCAACAACCATACCCAAAATCAGAATTTCATTGCAATTACTTTTCTGACGAGAATTCAAGCGCCAATGATGTTTTTTTCAAATACTCAGCTACTTTATGTGTTGCACTTTACTATTCTTTTGCAGATATGAACTGAGATATCGCGCCTCAACATAAATAGCCGTTCCCTTCGTTCTGTGATCCATAAATTTCTTTTTAAGAAGGCAATCGCCAAAGTTTTGCTCATTTCTATAGGCGTAAGGATAGGCCTCCTGTTGACAATTTCTGCAAAATCGTTTAGCTGTTCAGTGCACAAAAAATCAAAAAAACCTTCATAATATGGGACCACGAGTCTTGTGAAAATTTTTTTTCAAAAAATAGACAATTTTGGATTTTGATTTTTTCTCTCGCAGATCTTTTTTGTCCGAACCCTTTCTATCTTCTTTTGTACTAATAACTGCGGCTATAAGATAAGCTACTTGCCGTTTATAGTAAGAAACTTCGAAGAAAGTTATGATTTGTTGAAAACGAGGTTTAAAAAAAAACTAATCTTGTTCATCAACCCATATTTTTCTGCCTGTTTGTGATATGAATATGGATGCATGTGCGCTGTATCGCGACAGATTTGCTGCCTCTGGCTTTCTTTTTGCATAAAAAATGCAGATTTTCAGAAAGTTGTAGCAGGTCAAAGAGGGACCTCGAAAAATGCTCGCTTTTGCACCAAGTAATATTAGGGTGAACGGTAAAAAGTGGGACAATTACGAAATAACTGGAGGTTTCTCAAGAGTGAGAAGCGATTAGACTTTCCAATTTTGATAGATGTTAGATTATGTTATTCTCTTGCAGATAATACCTATATAAGGTCATTTACATAATTAATAACTTTTATACTTACTGAAATGCAAAATCAGTCACCTCGATAAATTATGAAGTTTGAGCAGTATCTGCGCAGTGAAACATGTGAGACCACCCAAAGTACCACTGCTGGAGTGGGTGGTGGGACAGTCACTAAATCCACGACGGCTTGGTGGCCTCAGCTTGCAAAGTCAGGAGATATAGCCATTAGCAGCTTTGAGAACATAGATACGCGTTATTCAATTCCTTCCAGGTGAATGCATGTTTTCTAGGTACCATCTGATAGAGCTTTTTACGCTCTATCCATCCATTTGCAACTTACCTCAGATTTTATCTATCTTCGGAAAATATAGGGCGAAACAGGATTTTTTTGGTTTTTTATTGCGCCAGAAATAGCCACTTTTCAAGTTTTTTCGCTTTTTTTTCTAAAATTGAAAGAAAGTCTTATGCATTTAACATATCATTTGAAAGAGCATGAAAAGCTCTTTCGAATGGTATGTCATATACTTGACGACCTTACGGTATAGCAGCGCAAGATTGAGAATTGTTACAAAGACCCTGTCTGAGTTCTTCACGGCGCCACGCGTACGGTTATGAGAGAGGAGCGGTAACGCGTTGCCAGAATAATAGGCGAAGGTCGTTTATGTAAGCGACATTTAAGTTGTAGCCTGTTGTTGTTGGTGAGAACAAAAAACCTCAAAATGTAAAAAAAAATCAAGCTGTCCTATTTTTTACCGTTCACCCTAATACTTCGGCACATTTGAGTGAAAGCTGAGCTGAACAATTCATGCTTTAAATGGGGAATAGAAGTCACTCTGTTCTTATAAAAGCGGACTTTTCTAGTGTGATTTCAAAGTGGTCTAACTTGAAAACTGAGAAAAGTTATCCCTAAGATTCCACAATACTGAGCTAGAAAGACTGAGAGGCAAGCTAAGTGGATAGCCTCTGTTTCACTTTATGCAGGATGAATAAACATTCAGCAAAACTGAAGAAGACCAGGAAAGACGAATTTAGAGTCAGATTGGAAGCCAAGCATTTCGAATTAATTTTTTCTATCCCGATACAGATGCAGCAACAAAAAACTCTTTGAAAATGATAAGAAAGCTAAAAACGTCGAAATTCTAAGCGCTGCAAAGGAAGAATGTGTGCAATTTTGGCGCTGAATCTGTTAGCAGTATTAGGTGACATAACGTGTTTTGTAAATCGTTTTTTGTAACTTACTCGGAGTAACTTACGGAATTTTTCTCTTAAATCTCCTCTTTGGCACCTTAATGTGTCGGATCATCGCTCAGCTCATCTCGCGTGATTCAGTGGAGAGGTGATTTCCATGCCGCACTTGACCTGGGGCTCATCTGTTAGGAGACGTTGCATTCAAAACATGGAACGTGGGCGGTCGTCGTTTCACGAACCTCAAATAGGGTCTTAAAGGCGAACATCTGATTCAAAGAAAATTCACTATGGGACTCTGTCATAAAAAGGAAATTGTCTGCACATTGCTGACGATGCCCTTCAAATTTCATCTCAATCCGGTGGCTTTTAAAGTTTCTCGCACAAGTATGACCGAGACCAAGTCATATAAAGTACTTTTTTCTCCCGCGATTCAAAATTTCTACTCTCGCTTGAGTCCAAGCTTTGATTTGCAGTTCTCATATAGGCTGTATCAGCCAGTATCGGTCCCGCGCCAGTATGACTTGCGACGACGCACCATCGCATGCGACGTGCCTTAACGCGTAGCAGAGTTCGCACGCGTCACACCACACCGTCGTAAGTTGCCGCAGGCGCGACGTCGCATAACCGATGCTGGCTGGTACAGCCTATAACTACCTCGTTCAATTTTTCAATCCATGGTATTGAAAGCGGCACTCGTCGTTGTGCATCTCACAGTTTGCTTTCCTTGTGGGAACCAGTAAAGGTAAGGGAAACTCAACTGTCTCACCCCGGACCACAGCGCTATGCCAGTGTGAATCGTGTAGTGTCCTTGGAATGCTTGTGTTGTTTGTCAGGATTGCGCCTTCTCAGATTCACGTAGTTGTACCTTAATTGAATCTCCCTTGCACTTAAGTAACCATGTCGTATTTACTTACAATTGAAACGACAGGTGAAGTATGAAGGTTAAGTGAATTTTTCTCTCATTCAGCTGCCTATTCAATCTTGGTAGTGTTTTTCCGTATAGGCAGCTAATCGGAAAAATTTTGAGTTGCCTATTGGTTTACTTCCAACCATGGCGGAATACTGACACACTCCAAACTTATTATAAATCAGATTCTTTCGCAATTCCTATAAGGTGACTCAAAATGATAGTGCACTAAGTTTCATTTCAATATGTCATAATCTCTTCCAGACATATCCTCTTCCGTGTGCAAGATTTCCTAGATTAGTTTTTGGCTACCTCATGTACGTAGATGTTCAATATATCTGGGCAGCATTTGATTTAATGATGAAAAATTTCAATGAGTTCTCTTGAAAACCTCTGCTTTCAAGTACACGCAACTCCCTCGAGAACCGGATAGCATTTCCGGTTCCGAGTACACTAATCACCCAAAAAAAAGAGGATCTTTAGGTAAAAAGACTGAAGCTTGCTTTCGTGTAAGCATTTGACCTACCGTAGTGATGATCTAACCCCTCATTTCATTTCCGGAAATTTTACTTCGGACTTATTCTGGCAGCTTTAGGTGAGATTCTCTTCACCCAAGAAAAACAAATCTCGATCTTTCTGAGTCGGCAATTTTCCATACAAGCTATTATCTGCCCTTAGTAACATACTGCTCTCTCTTATTTTCGCTCGACTATTGGCGAAAGAGAAAGTTTAAATTAGAATTAAATTTCTGGAAATGCGTTTTGACGTCTTTCATCATCAGAGACTCATGATGAGATGTTGTGACTACTCACTAGATAATATTAATATCAGGTTGAATAGTCTTGCACTAAGTCTATTTAAAAAATTAGCAATCATTTTGAAAAATTCGCTTGGTTCATCATTTTGGGGAAAGAAAACAGACGCCTTTCAAGCTTAATGTTAGAGCAAAAATTGTTGGCATATCTCAGCAGTGTAGTAGGATTTAGGAACTCCTTGCAAAAAACTCTATGAGGTCCAGTAAAATCTGACTTTAATTTTGATCTTGGAGGTGCGTCCTATCATTTGGCAATAGATATCGTGTTGATCGATTGCGTGTACAAAAAGTTGTAGTTTCCCTTTTTTTCTGACTTTTCGATCTCTTTCTAGATTGAATGTGCAGTGTATTCGATGAGATATTGTATAGCTATTATTAACAATAAATCACAGGGCACATTGGAGACTTTCATTTTACAATTCATAAAATTCCCAAAACATTTTTTGAATCTGTTGCGCAAGAATTATGAATTTTGAAATATGCTAGTATTTCAATCAATCAAATTATCGTTTAACGCTTGAAAATTCTTTAACGCATACTGAAATTTTACCAGTAATACCTATTTTGAG